CAAAAGAGGGTGGACAAAGAAGGTATTTGATTAGGTTGAGAGGTAAGCCAGACTTAGAGGACACCTAACTAGAGCACGAGGAGCTTCAGCGGATTGATCCAGATGCATTAGAAATTTATGAGAGTACTCGGGACGCGTACTCGACGGAGTCGAGCTCTTTTCCATCCTGGGAGAATGATGAGAACATCCGACCTTGGAGAGTCTACTAGAGGCGTGGCTGATGATCTACGGCCACAATCACACTTTTTTATTTTTGAATCATTATATGTATTTGATTTATTTCTACATTTTTTCATTTGTACAATCACTTGAGGGAATAGTTATATGTAAGCCCTAAGGGCATGTTGGTTTTTTTATTTTTCTTCATTGTACGAGGCTATTTAAAAGTCGCCACCTCCTCTTTTGAGGTTAATAAAAATTATTATGAAATTTCAGCAATTGTCTCTTATGTTTTGTGTGAGAGAGAGCCTTGGAGAGAACCCTAGGTGAGGGAATTGGATCACCCATCAGCCGTAGGAAGCGTCCGGGCTCGTGGTTACTCTTCTTCCTTCTTTCTTTCTTTCCCCTCATCCAATCGCTGGCCAACCTTTCCCAAGAGCCGCCGACCAAGGTCTCCTTCCCTCCTTTTTCCCTTAAGCTGCTGGCCATCCCTCCCCTTCTCCCTCTCTTAGCCAAAACCCCACCACCATCACAACCCCACTGACCACCAACCCCATTTTCCCCTCCAAACCGCTGGCCAACATCCCCCTCTTCTCCCTAGCCACCGGCCGACCTCCCATCCCCCCCTCCTTTCCCTAAGCTGTCGGTGTCCTCCGTTTCCCCTCCTTTGCGTCCAAAATCTTTTTCAAATTGAACTATTGAATACTTTCCTATTTTGGTTCATCTTAAATTTGGAAAATTTTCTAAATTCAAATTTAAAATTATTTGAATTTGAATAAATAAGTTGACTTGTTATGGAAACCTCCCCAATTTCCTCCACCTGAAATCAATTAGAGATTCTCCTCTAATCCACTTTCCTTAGTTAATGTCCTATGTTTGGAAAGGGATTTCAAATCCCCAATCAAGCCCCCTTGCATGGCCGGCCCCTCCCTCTTTCTCCTATTCAATTAATGCCCCATTAAACCTTCCCATCAATCCATTACTTCCCCTCCAAGACCAGCCACCCCTCCCTTCCCTCTTTAATTCTTTGGGAAAATTCAAATCCCTCTAATTAAACCTCCCTAGGCTTCTTGTAACTGTTGTCCTCCATCCCCTTTGTCAACTACTTGGTTTTTCTCAATTTAGAACGATCTAGTTGAAGATCGGAAGCCTGCACATTTGCTGCCCAAACTTATGGTTATCTTTAAGTGTGCTGTCCCGAATTTCCAGCAAGCGAAAACCTATCGACCTGCTATCCCGATGGTCGTAGTGCTGTCCAGTAGTTTCATCAAACTCCTATTGCTGTCCTGTTGTCCAGAAAGTCCCCAATTGCTGTCCAGAAGCTCCAGTATCTTGCTAGTAACCATTCCCATATCCTGATGAAGATAAAATCTCTTCCAGGTTTTATATCTTATAAGTTTATCCTTAATTATGGTATCACAACGATCTTGAAAGATTTCTCCGCAAGCCAACTTTATTAAGAGTTGAATGAGGGATCTCTTTTTGTAGTGACTAATCAAATTGTTAAATTAGAGATTTCTTATTGAATATCCTTCATGTATAATATGCTCGAATAATTGATTATTTTATGATCTTAACTTCTAGTTGTGTGACTTGGCCTAAGCTCGTTTCACCCCTCTCGCATTTTCGTTCATTGTTTAAAATCACTACAAGTTTAATTCTTAATATTGCTCTTAAATAAGAACGTGCAACTTCTTATTTAACATTATCTAAGCATTTAAGTCCTACATCACATTCCCCCTTGCCTTGCGATCCCATTTAGGAAAATGACAACTCAACATAACTTTAGGTCATGTAGTAAGAAATATCCTCGAGTCACATGTAAAGCATATTAGGGATAATAGGAAACATCAAGTCACATGAGAAGCATATCGAGGATGCCTAAATGTCTCAAGCTCCCATTGTTCAAAAGCCTAGTTGAGCTTTCACCATAAGGCCCAGCTCGATGTTGTCATTCCAATGGGCGACCTCACTTTCCATCCCAAAATGATGTTTTAAATCTTCTCACACACACTTGCCACCTGCTATTTTAGGCTTTCCACCATGCAAGGACTACAACTACATCCCCATCGTCCTTTATCAATGTTTATCCATGTTTACACTTCACTCACGATATGGAGTCCTCTATTTGTGTTAACTTCTCATTTAGGGACTGTTTCTTTATTTATAAGCTCTTCAGACGTTGAGACTCAGCCCTGTAACCAAGAAGATAACATCCATATCATAGACACCACCTATGGTGTTGGCAGCTTGCTCGTCTTACTATCAGTCACTCCTTTGCCGACATGACATTCCCCAATATTATTGTCCTATTTTTCGGGCATTTCTACTTGTTATTACTTAGTGTTTTCACCATATAAAATTTGACATGAGGGGGAATACAAATTACTCATTGTTTCACCCCCCCAATTCGGCCTAACACATGGCAAACATCTGTTATGTTGAGCTTACACTTTAGTAGTTGCTTGAGCTTACACTTTAGTAGTTGCTCAGATTTATCTTCAACATTGGTCAAATCCAGTGGCTTGGCCCAAAACCAACTCCTAGGACTCTTTTAGCTTAGTCATATGATTTGGCATTTTGCATGGACCTGCTAGCTACCTATCCGATAGCTCCATGGCCGAGAAATTCCATGCTATCATCTGGATGTCAGAATAAATTAAAATCCAATTTTTACTTGGACTTGCCAGCCTTTTGCCCTGCAGCTCTATAACATCCAAAATGTTGTTTATCAACTCCCAACTATCTTCTCAAGCTCCAGTTGGTACCTCTTATTTAGTTGGGAAGCCTAGCTTCAAGGCTCTGCTCCAAAGTTGTTGTCATTGACTCCCCTGATACATAATCATTGTTCGTCAATTCACGGAATGATGATCTCTTAACATCCTTCTTATCCTCTCTCAACTGGTGTCCCAACTTCAAGTTGTCTTGCACATTTTGACTAACACCTTGTATCTAGAGTAGCCCCCCCAAACCCCATTTGTCTATAAGATTCATTATTGCCTTGCAAATCAAATTTGGACTGGTTGACATCTATTTTACTGTAATTCCATTGGCAATAGGTCAGTACTCAACACTACAATACTCAACACTCTCCTATTGTTTCCCAAGTGGATTCATTTGAGGTTTTTAGCAATAACCTTCCCATCTATTGCCTGTTTGATTGCCTTTGTATTCATCAGCTCCCCAAACCTCCTATTGACTGCTTCCTTACCTCGCAAGACCTGTGGGTTCCCGAACCATCTTGATGATGTCGCTTCATTCTTGTTAGCATTGCATTTCGATCTTTAGGCTCTCTTAAACCATTTGTTTCAAGTTTTGATACATCATTATCGCCAATGGCTGGCATGAGGACATTTTTTCAAGTGTTTACCATAATTGTCACATGTCATCTGTACATAAATTGTACCTCATTAAAGTTAAAAAAAGAGTACATGTTGCTCTCAGATTATTACAATGATTCTTTTGAGTGGCCTATAAGCCTATGGCAAGCCTACCATCTTATATAAGATTATTTAGCTTGAACTTTTAATAGGATTATCAACTGCTGAGACTGAACTCTTGAAGGAGGATGTCTCCTTTTATTTTTCCTCTCTTTCCTCCAATGGGCTAAGGTGAACATTTCTTTTATGATGAACATTTTTTTTCCTTGTAGTAGAGAAGGTTATAAAGCTTAATCACATAAAATCCTTGCATTCATAGATGCTCTCCATCATAGATAAACGGGTTTATGACTTTGTACTGCCCTATTCCTCTCTTAATACCAACCTGTTAGGTCACTCTATCTTTTCCTTTGAGCCAGTAGGCATCGTAGGCTTAAGACTCTCCTTCTCCATCCTTTCTTCATACGCCATCTTCCTCTTGTGGGCCAAATGGCGCCTCCCTACTGCAGGGACCAGTTTTCGCTGTTCACAATGGTTGAAAGGTTTCATTGGTTTTGTAGTAAATGATGGTGGGAACTTGGTGAGTTGTAGGGCAGAAAGTTCATAATCAAAAGAATACCCAAGCGATATAGTGTTTCTGAAGGAAATCAGATCGATTGAAATTGTGAAACCACTTGTTTCTTAATTCCTTAATACTCCGAACTCATTTTGGCATGAGAGTGAAGTTCCTTGCTATTACCCTCAAATAATTTTGGAAGGAGGAGGAGATTGGATGGCTGAAGAAGCTTAAAGGTTGGGTGGTCTCCCCTTTTAAGGTTTCCTGTGGTTTAGTTTAGTAGCGAGATGGATAGCAGAGTTCCAGTTGATTTTCTTCGATTCAATTTCTGGTGCATAGGCTGCTATTTATAGGATGCAATAAAGAAGAGAATCCTACATAATCTTGTTAATCTATTTGGGTAACTAGTTTAACATCAAGATATTACCAGGTGATATCTTCCTTGAAGGTGAAGGCTGTTCGTGCCTAAGCAGTTCCATATTTTTGTTGAGCCCCTTGCTTTAGTTGTTCAGGATCCCTTGAATCAAAGAGTTGCATCTTTTGCGCTTGGTTGATTCTTTCTTGTAATATCTGTGTTTGGTCGGATTAGGAGGACCAAACCAGGCCAAATGCATTAGGATAGATCCCCTAATGTGTTCTTGATTCTTGAAATATTTGAGAGATGCTTGAGAACCTCGTGGATTATAAATGTTTAATATAGAAAAATTACATTATTTTGTTGTAGCATTAGGCTCTTGCTCGATTTTTACAGAAAGTCTTCTAAATTTTCTATTAATCATGTTAATTGGCTTACAAGTTGGTTCTATAGAAAATGGCATTTTTTTTTTAAATTCTTAGTGGGGTTAATCAAATTCTGAAATTTAATGCATTTCAAATTTAACTGAGTAAATCTTTGAAATTATCAGGTCTCTTTTCTTCTATATGTACAGCAGTGGAAGAAAAAAGTTGTTTTTGTTCTAAACAAACTGGATCTTTATCAGAACGCCAGTGAGGTTTAATTCTGAGCTCTTAAAATTTCTTTTATTGTTTCTTTATCTATGGCGCCTTTAAGATCGTACTGTCACATTATTTTTTGGATGCATCGTCTGATTTCACATTTACTTTTTTGTAGCTTGAGGAAGCTACATCATTTATTAAAGAGAACACACTGAAGCTTCTTGGTATAGCAGATTTGAGGTTGTATCCTGTATCTGCACGTTCTGCGCTGGAAGCAAAGCTTTATGCTTTGTCTTTTAGTGCTCAAAACTATGAGGAGCTTTTGTATAGAGATCCTCGCTGGATTTCTAGTAGATTTCAAGAGCTAGAACATTTCTTGTTTAGTTTTCTGGATGGTTCAACTGACACTGGTATGGAAAGAATGAAGCTTAAGCTCGAGACACCAGTTGCTATTGCAGAGCGTTTGCTGGATTCTGCTGAAAGACTACTTTTGCAGCAACATGACAAAGCATCTCAGGAATTGATCTCTATTAAAGAAGTTGTTAGTAGTATTAAAGTTTATTCTATGAAGATGGAAAGTGATAGCATATCATGGAAGAAAAGGGTTGTTTATATGGTATTATTCGTTTAATGGATCATACCTGAAGTCATTTGTTTTTTGAAGTTGCGTGATTACTAGTTGATAAATTTCTGAAGTACTTGCGATAACTTCTATCAACATAAAACTAACATCGTAGTTTTTCAGATCGAGGCAGCAGCAGCTCAAGCTGTAAAGCTCATGGAGTTTACTCTTCAACTTTCTAATATTGATCTTATTACAACATATGCTTTCAAGGGGGAAAAGTCCAGTCCTATAGCTTCAACTTCAACTTTGCAGAACGAAATCATCAGCCCTTTTCTCTCTGATGTGCAGGTTTAGTGCTTCTACCTGGATCTTCGGCTTCTGTTGATACTTCTTTTTCTTCTATTTTGTATGTTTGAGAGAATCGTAATCACACCTATGTATACCTCCTGGCAACCACACACGCCTTCACATATTTTAGCAAAATACGTTACCCACGTGTATCATTGGCAACTGCATGCACGCACCAAGGCAGGCCTCCATATATTGCAACAACATGCACTCAACTGTGCTCCTCGTTAGAGACTAAAGGCACACACTAGCATATGCATCTCCGCACATCTTTGGGACAATAGGTATGCACCTGCAAACATCCTTGGCTACCACCCTACGGATATGCATGTAAAAAATTCATTTGCGCTCATCCTTTTTAATGTTTAGCACTACTGCAGGCACATGCACCGATTTATTTCAGCATTTTTTTACTAGTGATAATCTATGATGCACGGACACGGACACGGCTTTTTTTTTAAATATAGGATTCGGGTACTGCGCGGACATGACAATACATTTTTTTATATAGTGTATATATGCTAATGTAATATCATATTAAAAATGACAAACAATAATAAATGAATGACATGATAACTTGTCTAGCTTATAATATAAAATATTTAGTACAAAATATATAGTACAACCACAAAAATATATGCAAATAATCATTTACTACAACATCAAGCATTCAAGCTTCAACTACTAGGATTAGCTTTAGAGGTTTGTTTTTAGCCTTCAATATCATCATCATTGAATATCACTACTTTCAACTCTGGTTCAACAAGAGAAAGATTTGTACTTGTGCAAAAAAAGAGGAGATGAAAATACCTTCACTGCCAAATAGAAATGAAAATGAGAATATTTGATGAATGAGGGTATTAAATGCAGACGTTGATTTGGTGTTGTGGATATGAAATAAGAAATTTAGTTTAAATCTCGCCAAATATAAGAAATTATATTTAAAAAAAAAAATTATAAAATATTTAAGATACGCGTGTCGGACACACGTGATACAAAGCAGACAGAAGGCGTCTACAATCTACAATACTACGCCACCGGATCTGCAACACTGATACAAAGAAGACAGAAGGCGTCTACAACTTACAATCCAACGCCACCGGATCTGCAACACTTATGAAAGCAGACAGAAGGCGTCTACAATCTACACGCCACGCCCACGGATCTGCAACACTGATACAAGCAGACAGAAGGCGTCTACAACTTACAATCCAACGCCACCGGATCTGCAACACTTATGAAAGCAGACAGAAGGCGTCTACAATCTACAACGCCACGCCACCGGATCTGCAACACTGATACAAGCAGACAGAAGGCGTCTACAACTTACAATCCAACGCCACCAGCTCTGCAAACACTTATGAAAGCAGACAGAAGGCGTCTACAATCTACAACGCACGCCACCGGATCTGCAACACTATGAAAGCAGATAGAAGGCGTGTATAAGCTTTTCAAGGAAATGCTGTGCATTCAATGCAAATACATGCACAACTATAATATTTCAAAATACTCCTACACGCACACCTTAGTTTGTATACACATAGGTACACAAGGGGTAAATACAATCTCAACCCGCATGGGCCCCGGCGAGCGTGCTATGGTACACACGTGACGCCTATGGATGCTACGCGGGTTGACAAGTGAATTTAAGTTCGAATCCGATCCTTCTATACGGATCAATAGAAGTCGATAGATTCGAACTACCTAACAAAATACACGGTTCTAAGCGACCGGTGTTTTTGTTTAAATACATTCTTTTTAGGCCTTCAAGACCTAAGAATCAAGAAAATTCATAAACAAAGGCACAAAGCCTACGAGAAACCCGATCCCCTATCGAAAAGTTGATAGGTCGACAAGGTTCAATCAATGGAAATGACCCCAAACACCCCGATGATGGCCGTATTGATTGGTTATCTCAACCGGAGGGGTTCACAAATATTTCTCAGAATTCCATCTAAATGTCCATACCAAGTACTCCAAAACCCACAAAAACCCAAAAACTCCACAAAAATCCCAAAACTTCAAAAATATTTAAAATTGAAATAAATCCATCAATGCTTAAAGCAAAAATCCATCCACCCCTCCGCCAACAGTTTGTCGGGGTGGACAAATCAAATCTACTCTCACTACAAAGAGCGAAATGCCTAGTCGAAAATATCACTAGGATCCATTCTCAAACAATCTCCTGCCAATAAGGACGTGGTACGTGTCCTCTAACCGGCGGTCTGCCGTCAAATGGCACCGCAGGATAAACGGTTACGACGACCCGGGTCCCTCTGAACGAGGGGTTTTTGCCGCCAAAATGGCACCACGAAATACCGGTTATGGCCAGAGCCAATACGCTCCTTATTGGCATCAAACCTGAGATATGAATCAATAGGATATTAATCGATAGGCACAAAGCTCTCTGCGAAGCTAAGGTGGATTCAAATTTGTCCCTTAGATAAACATCCAACCCCGGTCTACAAGGTACCCTTGGACGAAGCAACCCATGGCTGCCGACAAGGATGCTTCTGTCAGGTTGGGCGACTACCTTCTCTGACTAAGTAGACCAGGGACCACGATGGCCCGGGACGACGGAACCATGGGATCTTGATCGGGCCCATCATCCATTCCCCACCATCCGCTTTAAGTGTAGGATGGTGCAGATTCTATTTAAATATCAATCTTCAAATCCAAACTTCCAATCCTCAATACCTAAACCCATTGCTGCTACTATATGCCAGATACACGTATTTCTATACGAATTTGATTGATGACTAGCCTTAATCGAAAGTTCTCTCTCGTGATCGAGAGGGGTAATTAACTATAGGGGCTTGCGCCTATAGGAACCAGAACTCAGATCATAAAGTCCTCACAAAATGAGGCGAAATCTCTGGGTAGTGTCTTATCTACAAACCCATCTGCCTTCCAAAATTTAACCCCGGAACTTAGTTCGTTAAAACTCCCTCGCCGAAATAAAACAAATAAGAAATCGCGCGGCGGGGAGGCCGGGCCGAATTTTTGGAGCCCACAGTTGATCCAAGAAAATAGAATAGTATCACCTATCATGCACCAACACTTCTCCTCAAAGAGGCGTGCAGTGTCCGACACCGTGTCCGACACGACACTTGTCCAACACTCCTCCGACACGTGTCAGACACGCCGAAAAACGTGTCGATTAAAAAATATTAAAAACAAATTGACATC